TAAACTCGACTCTCCCACATCATCACAAAACGGCGCGGCGCGAAGGTGGTCATTACTACGATCGAGTGAAGGACAAAACGATGTTTCGGGGGAGGAAGTGGTGAGGGATTCTTCATCATCTCGCAGTTCTTGGATTCGGAAATTGTCTATACCAGTGTCGGGAAGTAGCAGTCCTAGATCAAGTATCGCACCAGAATCGCCTTCTCTCGCGCTCTCCCATGGCTCCGCGACACCTATATTGTCGTCCCCGCGAGATAGTCCCACGCAATTACCTCCGAACAAACTGGTCAAGAGGCACACATCGCAGAGATATCATAGGGAGGCAGACTCGAGTGGATCAAGAGCGCAGGTACCGACCTTACGGAGACCAGCTACCAGTCATCAACGTTCGGCTACGCTGCAGCAACGATTCATTGATGATTCTCCAGGAACGAAAACGCAAGCGCGTCCCACTGCCCCAAGGCGGTCAACGGTATCCACACATGCTACACCCTTGAGGAAATCTAGTGAATCACCTCGCAGCTCCTGGCGTATGTATTTCAACTCCCGACCAACCAGGTTTTTCAGAGAAAGATCCGCTGGAAGATCAGGAGATGGGCATGTGCATAATTTTTTCTGGACCTCAAAGCGGGTGATGCCAGATCATACCGTTAGACCGACTTTGGTCAAACCATATTTAATCACTGTTTCGACTGAAGAAATGGAAGGGCATTACGACGAAGGAGGGCTTCTCTGTGACGGACCAATTGATCGAGATACAATGGAAGACACCCCTAGCTCGCCTATGGATGAAGATGATTCAGAAGATCAGAAGCCTCTAAGGCGGTCACTTTCAATGCACTTCAATTCACCGACCACATGGATACCTCGGACAGGAAGCTTAAGGAATAAAAAACGAAATTCAGATTCTACGCAGGGTGCCAGGCGTCATGTATCTGCACCTCTACCATTGGATACAAGAAGAATATCGATTTCTGCAAGTGGGCCTGCCCCACATCACTCTCGGCCATTCATGGATCAATTGGTATTCCAGAGAGAGCCTCGCTCTCCTACCGAAGACTTCTCCCCGGTGTCACCAACGGATCCCTTTGCCCATTTTAATTACGCTCCCCGCAGGAATACATCATCACCATTACCGCCTCTCAACCGACTATCATCTTTCAACCTCGATTTGGCTCGTTTGGGCTTATCGTCGTCCTCTTCGTCGGTCCCTCTTCGAAGTCCTAGTTCACCTCTGCCAATGTCTAGTACTGCTGCGACTTCTTTCTCTTCTACAATTCCTGGATCAACAAATGGTTCATCGTCATATCATACTACATTGAGTTCGAAACATGGCTTGTCAGAAGTGGGAGACAGAACTTCGACTTTGATTGGTTCAGATAATGAGATGAGAGGATTTGCATCTGGTGAAGATGAAGATTTGGATTTTCAAAGTGAAACCGTCTACGATTCACTGAGATCGGGGGCCACAAGTAGTTTACGATCACAAAATACGCCCCTTGACTCAATGTTTGACGAGTCCCCTCCAAATATCGCAAACGCCAACGGACATGTAAAGGCTAAGAGGCTTTCAATACATGATCTGATGGCGAATGGCGCCTTTGGTGAAATTGAACATCGTATAGTTGAGGAGGATGAAGGCCAATCAACACCAGTAAAGCTTCTTAACACTTCTTCCGATGTCGCCAAATCGACTTATGATATTGATGCAGAAGAAATTGTCCCCTCTTCGCCACCAAGCTTTTGTATCGCTTCAAAAGATTTCGCTACACTTAACTTGGATAACGAAGAAGAAGACGAAGACTGGACTCGAGATGAAGAGAACGAAAATATGGAAGGGGGAAACCAATTGTCACCGCCAAATAGCTTGTCTTGTCGTCGGGTCAGTCCAATCAACAGAGGAGCCCTTGCAGATGTTACCCTTAGTGGTTCCACAAACGGTAATCATTATGCTGAACGACCCAAGAGCAATTTATTTGATTGGTCTGAACCATCGACATCGGAGAAAGATCTGCTTGGAAGTTCCGCTCGACCTAGGACAGCACATGTGAAGCAACTCGCGTTGAATGGACGAGGTGGGCGAACTGTCGGACGAAAAGGCCCCACCCCATTGCATATCAGAAGTCAAAGTGTTCCTTTAGTTCCCGATCTCATTAACCAGCGTGATCACACAAAGCTGACACCAAAATTTGGTACTTGGGGTTTGGGCGCAAAAGGCGTAAGTGAGGACTGGGATAACGATTTTGAGTTCGAGTCAAATGATGAAGCTGGACTTGAGGATGGCAATCTCAAGATTGAGACCGGTGTAATGTTCGTCCCTCTCGCAATTCAAGCCAGCCAAGCAAACGTCGTTGGTCATGTTGGACAAATTCGAGAAGTGTGCTTGCTGGTCGAAGATCTTAAGAGGTTGCGTCTTTTGGCTCGGGAAAAGGATTTGATACATGGACCTTCAGCACAACTGTGGAAGGAAGCTGAAGGCATTATTGCTTTAGCTGTACCAGATGAAGAAGATCCTACTCTATCGCCTCCTCAGTCGCCTACATCTGTTTCTTTTGATCAGGACTTTGGGGATAAGTTTATCGATCGCGGTCTTGATGCTGAAGATGTCGCTATTCCAGATGTGCCGATGGAGGTCTTGGATCGTTTTGGGAAACCCTCGGGGTATGTATATGATGGTAACACTGTTCGACGACGTTCAGTATTCTCACCTGAAGATGATATCTTTGGAGCCGGAGCTGTCATTCACAACCCTCCTGCCAGAGATAGTCTCCGCCCTCCAGCAGTTCCTGTCCGTTCTTCGAGTGCGAAAACTGCGGCTGAAGTTGCCCGTACAGTCATGGAAACCATGCATCAACATCGTTCTACTTCAGATCCTTGGTTGTCAGAAGTGGTTGAGCAATCTCCAAACAAAATGCCATTCGACACGACCAGTCTACGCGACTTAGTCCATCGTGCTTCTGTTTTGAGTCGAAAATTGGCCGACATCATTCGTGAAACCGACGGTACTATTCAAAGTCCGATTTGTACACCTCATCGCGATTCAAGCCCGGCCTTCACTCGCGTTTTCACTGACCCAATGTCATCACCTGCTTCAAAACGCCTCCCTCGAAGTCATAGTAGCAACTCTATGCTCAGTGGCTCAATGAACTCCTCACCAACAAGAAGCTTGGGCCAGAGAATGCATATGATGACTGTTGTATAACAAACTACCATTCTCATCACACAACATGAGCGTTTCACTTTGAGAATTTATTCTCGCCGACACGAATTCTTGTACATACACGGGTCGACTAACAATGGCCGTAATTTCATTTCTGCATAGCGACGGGTTCAAGCTGCCACGAAACGTTCTGTTATTGACTTTTTTCCTTGGTACTCACATACATCTCCTGGATCTTTTTTGCCAACCAGGGAATGCTTCTTCTAATGGCACAAGCCTTTCATACCATTGCATTCATCACTTAATTAGCATATGTCATTTCAGCACGAATGCATTGAAGAGATCAATTCCGACGACGGACCGAAAAATCATAATGTTTTTCTTTTACTTTTACTTTTTACCGGATTTCCAAATGTATCGACGGATTCTCTCGAACGACATACACGACAAGTACAAAATTCAAATGGACCTCGGGAGATGGGAACAAATTCCCGTCATTTCTCAGGCCTTTTCTTGATACTCTTACCATTTCACATCAACCTCTAATTTCTGGCGGTAGACATCAAACCGACACAAGATAGTGCACGTTGGACGGCGTTAAGGATACAGATAAGAGATTCTGTGACCCTGTATGAACATATTACATCAGTGTACGAAATAATTTGGGAGATCAGACGAGATGATGAGAGTTGGGTGGCTCTTTCCGAAGCAGGCTTTGTTTGAGTCGATTCTTTTTTTTTTTCTTGCTTCTTTATTTTATCTTTTTTGTTGCGAGGAATTTGCATGGATTATTACAAGGCCTCAATGGCTACGGTCCGATTGTGATAGGCGCCAAAAGCGGGGGAGTTTGGGTTTTTGTTAAATTTTCTATTGTGAGATTGGAAAGGGATTGGAGAGGGTATGGACGGGCGTTGACGATTGAATCGGGATCAGAGTGTGGGTACTGGATAGCAAAGTAGGCATCAAGATGATGGCGAAGATGGATTGGACATAGGTATTTGGTAAATTCCATGATGTGTATATCTTCCATGCATGTTGAGAGTACACGGAGAAATTAAAGAGGCCCCATGGGATACACAAAAGGGGAGAGCAACAAAACGTGGAGCTGAGAACACAAAAGAAATAAGATAGGATGAAAGCAAAAATCAATATACCAAAGCTTCTTAGAGCCATTTACATGTTCAATTTGATTTATTGATTATTGGTTTATTAATGTGTGACTTGTAGATGTGTGTGCGTGTATGTATATATATATATGCTCGTGCGCCTGTGCTATCTGTACGATGTGTGTGTCACTTCCAAGTACCGACCAAAGATCTAGATGTGAAGCCTCCAACACTAAAAATCCAACAAATGATCAAACGAAAACGCATGAACAAGCGAAGCACTAAACTTGAGGAATCGGGATCATCGGCCTACGGGTCTACTAGGTTATTGTAGTAGCTCGTCGCAGGTCAAGGATACCGAGGCTGGGGAAAATTTAGAGTCCTGGTTACCCCGCATATGTGAAGGACGCTAGAAGGCTGGAAGGCGAGGAGGGCGAGGAAGGGTAGTGGGATATCCCGCTTGATTGATAGATGGGTGGATGGGTGGATGGATGGATGGACTTGTTATATTCTGCTTTTAATGTTTTGGGGGGTTGGGATTTGTATTGAAATGGGGGAGAGGTATAGGATGGATGAGATGGATGCGGCGAAGTGAGGTGAAGGGAGGGCTAGACTGTAGGATGTTAGGATGTCAGTGTGTCAGTGTATGGTAGTATGTCATAGGATGTCAGTGTATTTTAGCATCTTGGTAGACTAGTAGACTAGTAGACTAGTAGCTTAGTAGACTAGCATATTTATCGTGTCGTATCGTATCGCAGAACGGACCTTTGCTTCTTCCTCTTGTCCGTGGAGGTGTGGTGGTGGCTGAGAGGTGGAGAGGAGTTTGGGGTTTGGGGTTTGGGGTTGGAGTAGTTGGTTTGATTTGATGGATTTGCTTTGGTGGATTGAGGGATTGCGGTTCGAGGGTTGAGGGTTGAGGGTTGAGGATCTGGGGAGAGGAGAGAGAGGAGAGAGAGGAGAGAGAGGAGAGAACGGAATAGTTCCATACTGGGGGTTTGGGGGTGGTTGAGGGGTTTGATGTTGGGTGAGTTGCGGGAGATTGAGATAATGAATTTGTTTGTCTGTTGTGGATAGTTATATAAATATTTTATTTGATGTGATGTGATGTGAAATAATTTAACCACGTAGTTATCTAATCAAGTGATCCAGTAATCCAATAATCAGATAACACAATAAACCACCACATACAATACAATACGACGACATCCATCATTCCATCTCTATCTCCATCGACAAAACACTACTCACTGTACTCGAGTACAAAAAACTCAAACAAGAAAAAAACCAAACCCAATTCCCAAATGCCAGTTTGACTTGCCACTTCTTCTTTTCCTTTTTCTTTTCCTTCTCCTTCTCCTTCCACTTACCCATACTATCCCTTATCTCCATTCCGCGTCTTCGATACGTAACCGTATACGCTGGGCATACGTGACGAAAGTAAAGCAAAGCAGAGTAAAGCAAAGTAAAGATGAAAAGAGGGGTTATTACCGAGGCCGATTTAATCGATATAACCTAAACCCCAAAAATAGATTTCTATTTAATGAAAAAGTATATTTAGTATTCAGAAGTATATAAATAAAAATCAATATTACTTGTTATTATATCACTTTTATAATTCAATACTTTTTTTTTCCTTTTAAACTTTATAAATATTAAACTTTCTTTAATTTTTTTTTATTCATTTTATATGATTTTATTTATATAATTATAATAATTCAATCTTAAATTTTATTAACTTAATATAAAAAATCAATTTATAAATAACATAATAAATAATATAATAAATAATATAATAAATAATATAATATTTATAATATTAAATAATCTTTTTTTTAAATTCAATATTTAAATTGCAATTAGAATTATTAATAAATACTTTAATATTTAAAGATTTAATTAAATGTTCAAAATTAACTATAATAATTTTATATTTAAAAATAAAATAATTATATATGATTTTATTCTATTATTTAATAATAAAGAAATAAAAGAGCTTTTAAATTAATAATTATAATATATTTATAAAATATATTAGAAATATATATTTATTATTTAAGTTTTATAAAAAGTCTTTATTAAAAGAATAATATAAATAAGATTAATGTTAATTTAATATTCTAAAAGATAATATGAAATTAAATTATATTTAAGAATATAATAAAAGATTATTATATATTTATTTTTAAATAAAAAAGAAGTTTATTTTATAACATAATATTTATTTTTTTAAAATTATAAAATATATTTATATTAATATTTTATATTTATTTTAAAAATATATTATTTAATATACTTTAAATTATAAATTCTAAAAACATTTATAAATATATAAAATAATTTTAATTTATTTATAGAAAATATTAAATTTTTAAATCAAATAACATTTAATTAGTTAATAAATTAGTTTTTATTAAAATCGAAATTTATATAGATACTAATATATATTTCTAACTTATATATATATTAAAATATATTCTTTAATATATATATAGTATAAAAGAAAGATAAAGTTCTTATTATATTATGTAAAAGCTATTTATATATATTTAGATATTCTAATATATTAATGTTAGTATATTATTTCTAATTTATTATATAATATATATAAGTATTTTATTAATAAATATTTAAAATCAATTATATATTAATATTTAATATAATACTTTAAAAATAATATAATATTAAAGTTTTTTAAAGTAAATAAAGAAATAAATTTCTTTTTTATAAAGTTATTAAAAATAGAAAAGAAATTAAAAATTATTAGAAATTTAGAAACAATATTAGAAATTAATTTATCAAGAAAATATATTAAAAATTAATAATAAAAGCTTTTTTAAATACTTATTATTATATTAATGAAAAATATATTTTCTTATTTCTTATTTTATTTTATAAAAATAATTGAAAAACTTTCTTAATTTATTATATCTAATCTAATTTTTTTTTAAAAATTCTATATAATTAATTACTAACATTATTTAAAATTATTTTGAAAAATTATTAAAGAATAAATAATTTATAAAAATAAATATTAAAATTAGATTATAATTCTTATTATTATATTATTAAGCTTTTTATATTATATTAATATTAAATCTTATATTAAATCTTTTTTTCAAAAAACTTTAGATAATTTATATATATAAAATAATATTTTAGTTAATAAAATATTAATAAATATTATATAAAAAAATTAATATATTGATTTTTATTAACTTTTAATAATTTAAAGAATATAGGCTTTAATAAATTATATAAATATTTTGAATTTAATATATTAAAGATTAATAAAACTAAATGTTATTTTATTATATTAATTATATAATTTAATATTATTAATTTTCTTTAAATTAAATAAAAGATTTTTAATCAAAAAGTAAATTGATTTAATTATTTGTTTATATTAAATATATTTATTTATTATAAGATTAAATATATTAAGATAATTTTATAAGCTTAATATAATCGATAAAAAGTAAGCTTTATTATTTAAATAACTTTTATAATTTAATAATATTATTATAGTTATTATATTATTTGAAAAATTAAAGATATATTATATATAATTTTTATAATGATATGTAATAAGATTACGTTTTGTATAATACAAATATTTTTTCTAAGTTTTTTATAATTATATTATACAAATTTTAGAATTTTTTTTGTTTCAAACAGAAATCTATTTTTGGGATTTTAGCTATATCGACCAAATCGGCCTCGGTAGTTGTATTATGTTGGATTGTTAAGCGAGGCGTGGTGAGGTATGCGTATTAAGGTTAAGCTTCCTTGTCATCCTTACCATCCTATCCAATCCTCTCATCGTATCTTTCGCATCTTCGCATTCATCCTAGAGTATGCACATTGCATGCTGCATACAAGACATTAGGTAAAAAATCCCCGGTAGCTACATGTAATTTGATCCAAGGTTCTGGGTCGAGATGAGAGAAACCCCTCTCTCCTTTTGGGGGATAGCTGATCTGTTTTGGGATTGGTGATGTTGGGGAAGAAAAGGACTAAGCTGGAAATGGAGGATTTTCCGTTGTTTCTCTGCTAGTGTACTGAACTGCACTGCACTGTGCTATGCTGTGCTGTGCTGTGCCGTGGCGTAGGAAATGGAAATAAGGATCTCGTGACGGGAATCGTGTGAGTTGTTAGAAAGGAGGGGGGATTTTGTGTGAAGGTGAATCAGTGATTGGTCTAGATATTGCTTGTCGAGATTATTTGCTAGGAGAACAGGTACTAGGAAGTAGTTGATGTGGAAGCTGCAAGCTGGATGGTGGGATCGTATGGTCTTGCAGAAAGTTCTCCAGATCTACACACCATGTATGGCGTTTAGACTCTAGAGAAGACCGTCCGGGGGAGGGGACGCTATTGCGGGTTTACGAGACGCAATCTGGGGAACGCACACGGGAGAATCGGGGATGGGGCGTGCATGGCTCGGATCTGCGCGTGGAGAGTCGAGCCATTGTTGTTGCAGACCATAAATTCGTATTCAGTTGGAAATGTATATATTAACAAGAACGCCGGGTCTTGTGTTTGGGGAAATTTGCTTTTGTATTTCTTCTTCTTCTTCTTCTTGAGTAGGGAAGCTAGTCTTTTTCTTTTCTCTTCTCTTCTAATACTATTGTATTGTGTTTCAGCGCTTTCGACGGTTGATAGTCAGTCGTCTTGATATCATCTTCTATCCCATCTCATACTCTTAGCTTTCACCTAGGAAAACACCACAATATATCTAATCATGTCTTCACTCGATACCTCACACGATGATATCCATCATGATAAACCATACGTGCAACACGTGGCCGGTGGACCCGATCTCTCCCGTCAAATAACTCTCCAACTAAACGCCGATCAATACGAACGACTATTCTTCCAACCCTCATCCGCCAAAGGTGATCTCGTCAAACGACTCGGTAAGTCTCCAACTCCCTTTCCCCTCCCCCTTCCAAACCCTCCTGATCCACTAACCCACCCAGGAAACCCCACCCTCCTCGGTCTCCTCGGCTTCCTCGTCCCCTTCTCCTCCACCGTCTTCTCCCTCCTCACCTTCGAAGGCTCCTCCACCTCCTCCCTCGTCTCCATCGGCGGCTCCTTCTACATGTTCGGCGGCATCGCCATGATCATCGCCGGCATCTGCGAATTCGTCCTCGGCAACTCCTTCCCCTTTTCCGTCTTCATCATCTTCGGCGCGCACTGGGTCTACAACGGATTCCTCAACGATCCCCTGCACGGTGTCGCCGCATCCTACGCTACGACCGTCAATGGGGTCACGGTGCCCGGTGCGTTGAGCCAGGGATTCAATGCCGGACAGGGCAATTACGCCGTCGTCATGGCACTCGTCTGTTTCGTTTTCCTCTGTGCGAGCTTGAGAACCAACGTCCCGTTTGTAATTGTCTTCTTCACGTTGATATTCGTTTTTGGTTTCTTCGCAGGCGGGTACTATCAATTGGGATATAATCCTTCCGCAGCAGGCTTGGAGAATGCAGCAAACAAGTTTAAGATTGCGGGCGGGTTTGGATTCGTGACTATCATAATGGGATGGTAAGATTACTTTGTGACTTTATTCTATGTCTCTTGTCAAGCTATCCCGGATATGCAATGAGCAAAATGCTAATTCAATTTCACAGGTATTTGGCCATCATCACATCATGTGCATCGACAGGCGTACCATGCCCATTACCGATCTTTGATTTGAGTTCCAAGGTCTTTTTCCGCAATAGGGAGGCTGCAAAGACAGAACATGCGGGTGCTGTTAGGACCGATATGGTGTAAGTGCGAGGATAAAATGCAGGTCTGTTTGAAATGAGAAAATTTATTGAGCGGGTGTGGCCTGCATTGAACTGTATGATAATACATAAGGATTATAGGTTAATGAGAGGACTAATGAAGGTTGGATGTATGTATATATTGATAGTCCTTTTTTGTATTCAAAATTGACCCATCTTGAGTAATAACATAAATATATTGATAATCTATTTTAATCAGA